TTTTCCTGAAGGATCTGAAAACATCGTATCATAGGGATATATATGTGTCTATGTTTATAGCTGCATAATTTGTGATAGCCAAATCTTGGAAACAACCAAGATGCCCATCACCTGAGGAATGGTTGAAAAAGATGTGGTATTTTTACACAATGGAGTATTACTCAGCTATAAAGAATGATAAACTCGAAGCCTTCATGTTGAAGTGGATGCCACTTGAACATATACTCATAAGTGAAATAAACCAGATACACATGTGTAAATATCATAGTTTCCCTAGTATAAGAACTCCAAAGAAGAAATACAAATAGAAAGATATAATACAAGTAAAGGGAAAGCAGGAACTCAAGGACTAAATAAGTAAGGGAAATGAGAAGAGCTAGGAAACATGACAGTGACAAGCCATACATTTATATGTAGAAGATGGACAAGGCAATGATCCTGAGAATCTCCAGAAGAGTTTTGAATCTAGCAGTTAACTGGAAAGATTCTCACCCTGACTGACTAAATATACTGATACCTGTGAACTAAGCAACTGCACTGCAGATGGTAATCTGTAATAGTAGTTTCATGCTTGGAGTGCCTGTCATTCTCGTGTTCTGAATACGGGCTGCTTGTCATGACATACCAGTTTCTGCTGTGCTGTCTCTTGGGTAGATGATTGTTCAAAAAGAAGGGTGTGGTGAATGAAGGCAAGAGACAGGAAAAGGAATATTGTCCTGCTTCAAGGTTGTATATGGTTTGATTTTTGAAATTATGTGTAAACATAAGAAGTATATAATTCTTTATGCCTATTTTAAAAATATATTCTAATTTTTAAATGTTTTTTCATTATATTCTGTAGGGACTTAAAGTTCAACATATCAATATTTGATGAAAAATACCGGTTCCATGTTATGCCCAAGATGTTTGATATTCAGACAGATAGTGAAGTTAAGCTTAACAGCCTAGGTTGTATGGTAATAACAATAAGCTTGTGTTCTGGAAGGTTAACAACCTACATTTGCAGACCAAAATTAGAGGAAAAGAGGGCTGCAAGGAAAGCCAGCATTTTGGCCCTAGCCTTCCAAGGTCAATTAAGATTCAGGACATATGAGAACTTGTACTGTAACATCATGCAACGCGGTAGTGTCCCAAATTTTCTGATCAAAGAGATTATGGGGCTGAAGAGGAAAGTGATCGATGATGTAGAATGTGTCTAAGGAGAGTCACCTGGAGAGAAAATATTCTCTCAGGTTTTCACAGAGAGCACATTGGTCAAGCAATGGCCTTGACTCATCCATATGGCTGACACTGACAAAGGTTGTACAATCTGAGGTACAGGATCTCAGGATAAATCCTGAGGGGATTTCACTGACCTTATTAGACCCAAAAGCTACAACTCTTGTTGCATTGGTCCTGCTTTACCTTGGTCTTAACTATCTACAGAAAAGTAAAAAAACAAAGTATAAGAAGTAAAGACATGCTCTTATGTTTGGCTCTAGGGGACTCAGGTTAACAATTTCTGATTGCCAGTGAAGTGGAAGACCCAATACTATTATGGGCTACTAGACTCTTTTAGAATATTTTGCTGTGTTAACACACCTATAATATTCAAATAACAGAACTTAACAAAAAAGGGTATACTGTTGAATGTCCATTTTGTACCTGTGTATTCAAAATAGTTAGAATAGATATATAGTTACATTCTCTTAATGAAAGATGGATATGTTCTAATGGTGTTTGTAAATAGGATGTCATGTCCGCATCTTGTACAGCAATTAACCACTAGAAGAATATATGCAATATGTTAATTGTTGAATCTGTCCTACCAATTTGGTTTGAAACTGTCTCATTGCGATTTGTTTCTCAATAAAATTATTGAAAAAAATCTTGAATATAGTAAATTCAGAGAACATCAAGCATGATAAATACAAAAAAGTGTACTTGGCATATCGTATCCAAACATTAGAAAACCAATGACAAAAGAAAACCTTAAAAAGAAACGCAAGGAGGAAAATCAGCTTACCTGTAGAGAAATAAGGAAAGGTATTAGATGACTTCTGAAAGAACAGAGTGGAGTGAAATTTTAAGTCACTGAGATGTGGGTAGTGGCTTGCATCAGCCACACATTCCGTGCTGGTGCAAGGCTGACCCTGATAACGCAGAGTTCCAGAGGTGAGCCAAGTAACAAGTGGAGGGGACTAGAGCCAGCCAACCCAGCAGGTGGCTGGCCGGGGTGCTCTTCCCTGTGTGACTACAGAACAGAGTGCTCTAAGAATGTTTCACTTTTAGTATTCTCAGCAAAACACTGAAACCTTGCACTTGTGACTTTGTTGTGTGCTTCCCTCCTTTTTATTGTGTATAAACAAAGATGCAGATTGAATTGGGCTGTCGCTGCAGCTCCGTCAGCATGATCAGGTCCCACCTGGTCCCAGCTTTGCTTTTGGTACGTGTCTATAGCTTTTTCTTAATCTTCTGTCACCCATTCTCAGAACCCAGCATTGAAGGCCATAAATTTATCAATTTAGAAGTCTATCCAATAAAATTATCCTTTCAAAGTGAAGAACCAAATGTATTGTCTGTTGCAAACAAAAATGAGAGAATTCAGCAGTAGCACACTTGCCTTTAAAGAAAGATTAAAGTTCTTCATGGCCCAGGACAATAACATAGGTCAGAAATTTGTATCTTCCCGAGAATCTCCAGAAGATTTTTGAATATAGCAGTTAATGGGAAAGTGACTAACTATATATACTGATACCTGTGAACTAAGCAACTGCACTGAAGGTAGTAATCTGTAATAGTAGTTTCATGCTTGGAGTGCCTGTCATTTTGGTCTTTTGAATATGGGCTGCTTGTCATGACATGTCCCTACGTGTGGGTTAGTCAACGAGGACCCTAGAGGGGGAGTGTGGATGAGAAGGGACAGGAGACACAAAGAATGAAGACAAGACAGGATTCTGATCAAGTCTCATTTATTCAGGAGAGGTGCTGGGCATATAAAGGGAGTGTAGGAATGAGGAATTCTTGGCTCTTGACTTCAGCGGGTGTCTAGGCAATAGAGGAAGGTCCCACCCCGAAGTGTAACAGGAGACTTAAGGCAAATAGGCAGTGTAAGAAGGAATAGAAGCTTAACTCAGCAGGAGAATAAAAACTTAAGAGTATGGCTGACAATATTATAAAATAGATACCAGTCACAGGTTTCCCACAATGACATACCAGTTGCTGCTGTGCTGTCTCTCAGGTAGATGATTGTTCAAAAAGAAGGGGGCAGTGAATGAAGGCAAGAGACAGGAAAAGGAATATTGTCCTGCTTCAAGGTTGTATATGGTTAGATTTTTGGACTTATGTGTAAATGTAAGAAGTATATAATTCTTTATGCCTATTTTTAAAAATATATTCTAATTTTTAAGTGTTTTTTCATCATATTCTGTAGGGACTTAAAGTTCAACATATCAATACTTGATGAAAAATACCTGTTCCATGTTATGCCTAAGATGTTTGATATTCAGACGGACAGTGAGGTTAAGTTTAACAGCCTAAGTTGTATGGTAATAACAATAAGCTTGTCTTCTGGAGGGTTAACAACCTACATTTGCAGACCAAAATTAGAGGAAAAGAGAGCTGCAAGGAAAGCCAACATTTTGGCCCTTGCTTCCAAGGTCAGTTAAGACTCAGGACATATGAGAACTTGTACTGTAACGTCATGTAACGCAGTGGTGTCCCAAATTTTCTGATCAAAGAGATTATGGGGCTGAAGAGGAAAGTGATCGATACTGTAGAGTGTGCCTAAGGAAAGTCACATGGAGAGAAAACATTCTCTCAGGCTTTCACAGAGAGCACATTGGCCAAGCAATGGCCATGACTCATCCATATGGCTGACACTGACAATGTTCTACAATCTGAGGTACAGGATCTCAGGATAAATCCTGAGGGGATTTCACTGACCTTATCAGACCCAAAAGCTACAACTCTTGTTGCATTGGTCCTGCTTTACTTTGGTCTTAACCATCCAGCAGAAAAGTATAAAAACGAAGTATAAGTAAAGCCATACTGTTATGTTGAGCTGTAGGGGACTCAGGTCAACAATTTCTGACATGCCAGTCAAGCGGAAGACCCAATACTATTATGGACTACTGGACTCTTTTAGAATATTTTGCTGAGTTTACACACCTATAATATTCAAATAACAGAACTTAACAAAAAAGGGTATACAGATGAATGTCCATTTTGTATCTGTGTATTCAAAGTGGTTAGGATAGATATATAGTTACATTCTCTTAATGAATAGAGGGATTTGTTCTAATGGTGTTTGTAAGTAGGATGTCATGTCCGCATCTTGTACAGCAATTAGCCACTAGGAAGAATGTATGCAATGTGTTAATTATTGAAACTGTCCTACCAATTTGGTTTGAAACTGTCTCATTGCTATTTGTTTCTCAATAAAATTATGGAAAAAAAGAAATTTGGATCTATATGAAGAAAGAATAAAGCAAGTTAAAATCAAATGTGTTGCTTTCTTTTCTTAATTTTAACTGAAAAGTTGATTTTTGCCATAATAACAATAAGCATGAAATGGGTGATTATATCATATAGAGCTATTAAATTAATGACAGCTGTGTAATAAGAGATGGGAGAGGACTGAGCTATTTGGCCCATGGTACCTATAGTACACATAAAGAGGAAGACATAATCCATGTAAATGAATAGTGTAAACTAATTATGAGAGAATCACTAAAATACTGAAAGGAAGTATAACTGATACACTAAAAGAAGAGATAAAGCAAAACCATACAAAACCACAAGAACTGTACTTCCGATTTGATTTGAAACTGCCTCATTGCTATCTGTTTATCAATAAAACTTTGAAAAAAAATAAATAAAACCACAAGATGCAGAAAAAAGAAAGACTCTGAAAAAGCACAAGAATAATAAATAGTTCTTTCTGGTCTTCCTTTCCAAGATGACAAAAAAAAAAAAAAGAAGAAACAACGGTCATGCCAAAAAGGACCGCAGTCATGTACAGCCTATTCGCTGCATGAACTGCGCCCGGTTGTACCCAAGGATAAGGCCATTAAGAAGTTTGTCATTCGGAATATAGTGGAGGCCGCCTCCGTCAGGGACATTTCCAAAGTGAATGTCTTCGACAGTTATGTGCTTCCCGAGCTGTATGTGAAGCTGCATTACTGTGTGAGTTGTGCCGTTCACAGCAAAGTGGTCAGAAATCAATTTCGTGAAGGCCGCAAGGACCGAACTCCTCCACCTGGATTTTGACCTACTGGTGCTGCCTCACGACCTCCACCAAAGCCCATGGAAGGGAAGCTGGGTCTTAATGTACTGAAGAAAACTCTCTTGAGAAACAAATAATAGATTGAATTTTATATTTTAAAACAGAATAATAAATAGAAAATTCAGTAGACATTAATCCAACAATGTCAATCATCACTTTAAATGTGATATGAATGCAAAAAAAGACAGGGGTAGTCAGAATCACTTAAAAAATGACATTTCACTACTATATTTGAATACAGGATAGTCCTTTCCAAACTACTTTGAGATGAATTGTCCCTACTCTTTGTTATTTGGCTTCCTGTCATTAATAAAATCTGACTATCTTCCTTATTAACTGGTATATTCAGATAGTGTAACCTTAAAGTATAAACTTTAAAAGAAGAGGCTTTTTACAGGATGGTGACAGAAAATATAAGAGAGTAAGAGTGATGACCCAGGACATGCATGGAACTGTAATAAGGTAAAATCACCTTCTGAATGCAAATGTCCTTTGAAGTCCTGAAGCCGTGTAAGTACGTTTTTGTCATCTTAAAGAAGCAGAGATTATTACTTCTACTTTACATTTTGTGAAAACCGTGAAAGAATACACAGTGCAGTCTAGACCTTAAGTCCAGCTGTTTCTCCCGTGGTCCGCAGCATCTCTTCTAAGCCCCCCTCCCCAGATCCTAGCCAATCTCATTGTGCTTCCACAGAAAAACAGAGAGTCAAATCTTTAGGTCTGTGACACTGACACAGACTGGGCCTGGTGGTGCGTGCCATTGAGGCAAGATGAGCACAAGTGTGAACCCAACATGGGTAACTATCTCAAAATAAAAAAATAAAGGGGTCTGAGTATATAGTGTATTGTGAAGATCCTGTGTTCAATCCCAAGTTAAAAAAAAAAATCAGGTCTGTAGATAAGGATCCAGCAGGCCTCTAGAAGAAATGGCATGATAGGACTCTCCGGCACCCCAGCTTTGCCTTCTTTCTTGGTTCTGCTCGGAGTTGTCTATTTGGCAGGCGGCCGCCTGTGAAATGCGCACATTTCCAAGCAAATGGCTCCAGGAGCTCGTAATTGCTGCCAAACGTGTGCGGATTTTAATAGCCCATTTTCATTAGCCTTGTGTGAAATCACCTGTCTCTGTGTTGTTACCCAACTTAATTGTCAATTATGGTGATTAAGCTTGGCTTTCACTGCCATAGCTGGCAATCATTAGCATCATCTTTGAGGCTGAACTAGATGAAAAAGATCATCCTATAGGTGAAGGCAAATGTTTTGGCGTCAGTGTGAAGTGACATTTTTCTTTCTTTGGGCTGAACCAAACTTGAGTCTAGCTGTCATTTCCAATCTGCCTTTCACATGTCTTAGGACAAATTAACTCTTTTTTTGTCACTTGGTTTCCTGTTATCAAAGGGGTTCCTGATCTCCATCCCTTTCTAGTTCTCCAGAGATGGATGCCATAGCTGAGACCGGGAGTTGGATAATTAATACCTTTAAAGTGCTTTCAGCCATGTTAGTAACCCTAAATATTTTAGGTCCTAGAAATGTTTTTGGAGTTAGCAAAAAAGGTGCTTCCAATAATAGACTGGACATGTTGGTAGTTGATTTATTTTTCTGTTTTTATCAGCCCCGTTCATTTCAAGCACATTGCCTTGGCTTCCACAACAGAGATTTGTCTAATTGTACATCTTAACTAATATTTTTCTTTTCCTGGAACCTGGAATGAACAATAATGAAAATCAAGGCAGCCATCATCCCTTTTCCTCCTTTTTTTTCCCCCACAAATTTTAATTTAGTAAAATTCCCAGACCCATTTCTGTGATGCTTTTATGGGATTTCAGGACATAGCAAAATAATGAAAGACATTTAAAAAATGGTATCATTAGACATTATCTCTAGTATTTCAGTGCCATGTGTGTCCCCAAGGTTTATGACACTCTTAAGACTTGATGGTTTCTTTTATCTTTCCAAAAACCCTTGGAGGAAACTAATACGAGATTTTTTATTCTAATTTAATGGGAAAAAGAAATTAAGTCATGCAAGCTTCAGGGATGTAGAAAGTGAATCAGTGACTGTTTGCTGCCTTCTGGGGGCTAAGAAGGAATAAAGCTTTATCTCAGACAGTCCTTAATAAAAACACCTAAATCCCTAACCTTGCGAAGATCCTGTGGCAAGTCTACACCAAGACTGGCAAGAGTTACAAAGGAATTAACTTCTTAGATAGTTCTCCTCCCCTCAACTTTTCCATTCCCATTCAGTGTGGTTTTCAGTGTTTGTTTCTTATTTCATTTTCTCTTTCAGAGCCCTGATTATACCAAATGCTTGCCTTCATTACTTGTCTTCTAAGCCCAGTGTACTCAAAGTTACTGACAGTGTCCTCCTTAGCTTCATGGTCACCCACCTATACATAGTAAGGACTAGAATCTGAATTGCTACGGGGTTTTCCTTATTTCTGTGAATCAATGCATCTCTTCTAATAGAAAAATCTATGTTACTTTTAAATTTTCCTCAAAGAAGAGCATGCTTCAAAATATCACTTGGAAATAAAGAAAACACATTATAGCCCAAGTATCTTCTCTTCTATGACGCTTTTCCAAAATATTCCCTTCCCAAATCTCTATGGGAAAAATAGATTGCCCTCTTTTCTATTTTTTTTTAAATGTATTTAGTACAGGGTCTACAGGGTCTCACTATACAGATTGGACTCGTAGTGATCCTCCTGTTTTCAGCCTTCCAAGCACTGGGATTGCAGGCGTGCACCACCACGCCCAGTCTCAGTCACCATCTCAGCGCGCCCCCGAGGCTGCCTGGCCTGGCATGCTGGGGATGGAACCCCACTGCTGCACTCTACCTAAGCAGGTGCTTTAGTCCGCTGAGTTATTTGACTGGCTTATTTTTTGTTTTTATTCTTATGTGAGTTATAGAGTGAACATATTACATTAATCATTTGTTGTACACCCCTAAATTGCTGTCTTCCAATTTTGGACAAGAAATACCATCATTTTCAACTGCTATGCAAGTGAGGAAAGATAATGAGGGAAAGAAAATCTAAACACTCTAAATTAGTAAAGGGAGGAGTCCTTCATGGGGGAGTTAATGACCCTACGGTGAGCGGACTCAAAACAAAATGAACTGCTTCGGTAGGTTGGATGTGCTGTAAAGGCTGAGCGGCTTCTATATGCGATAGCATTACAGTTCAGATGAAATGCCCCTATGTGTTCAGGGCCTGACCACCAGGTCACTACCACCAGTCGTGACCACCAGCTGGGGGCACTACTGAGAGTGACAGAAACTCTAGGAGGCAGGGCCTCATCGGAGGGGGTCGGTCATTGGAGTGGGGCTTTAAGAGGAAGCTGCAGCCCCTTCCCCCACCTCTTTCTGTTTCTAGGCAGCCATGAGGCGAGCAGCTTTGCTTTACCACATGTCTGCCCAACCAACGTTCAAGAACAACGGGGCGAAGTGACAGCAAACTGAAACCTCAAGACTGGGCATGGTGGCGTGCGCCTGTAATCCCAGCGCTTGGGAGGCCAAAAACAGGAGGATCATTATGAGTCCAATCTGTGTAGTGAGACCCTGTACTAAACACATTTATAAAAAAAAAATGAAAACTCTGCAACCATGAGCCCAAACACGCCTTTCCTACTGTAAGATTTTTATCTCAGGTATTTTGTCCCCGATGGGTCTGCACCCATAGGAAACTCCACCACGTCATCATGGCAGCAGGTCACCATGGCATGTGGACCCAAGACCAATGAGAAACCCTTCATGGCCTGACTTGCATCTTCTTCCCATGGAGAACCGCAAACTTCACAGATAAGCCTTCCCCAGTCAGCATCTGTTAGGACACCGGACTGCCCATACAGGCTCCTCCCTCCCCCAACCTAGCTGGATTAATTCTTTGTCTCTTTGCCTCCTCCTTGGCAAGCACTTATTCCACTGAGCTATCTCCTCCAAGTGTTCTTGCTTCTCTTTGACAGCCCTCCTGTGCCAATCAACAAAGGATTTCTTCACTTCTCTCCCACTCCAGAAGAAGGAACCTTACAGCAATAGCAAGCTAGCTAATACAGACAACAATCCCTAATTCATAGATTTTTCCATGCAGCTTGCAAATGCATATGCTTTGTGATCTAGGGGTCTCTGGTACAGCTGATGGTGGTCTAATTTGAAACTCTTATCCCCCCCACTGCATTTATTCCTCTCTTTGACACAGATTCTATACTGTGTCCATTCCTTTTCATAACTGAGCACCGTGTCTGTCACAAAGAGAACAGCAAGGACTGCTTACTGGCCAGGCTTCTATTGTCACACCACACCCACAGAACTCTGTGAATCAGCTTTGAAATTAACACTTCGTGGAGAAACAATGTTGGATATTCATTTTCTTCCTTTTAGAGGGTTATACACTCAATATGTATTTGAAGCAACGAAGCAGGATGTGATGATGCCGTTTGACGTCAGGATCTTTGACCTCTACATGTTTTCATGAAACCTGTAACAGCCCCCCAGCAGCTAGCCAGCCAAGAGAGCTGATCTTAGAACTCCCTTTGCTTCCCTTTTGTGCTTATGGATTGGTGTCTGGTTATTTAAATGTTGAGCTGCCTTTGAGATTTCAGTTCCCAATATCAAAAGCTCCCAGAATTTCCTTGCTAAAGTTCCCTGATTCAGCCATCTCTGCCAGTTGGGATTTCTGAGGAAATGAACCAAAGCCAGCAGTGGTTGCTATGGTGACTGAGTCTCTCTGGAGTGAAGTCAGGGGAGCATCCATTTGAAGAAAAGGGGGAGGAATAGTCTAGCAAAATGGCCATCAGCTAAGAATAAAGTCTTGGAGAAGGCAGGTGGGAGGGGTTAAGCAATGTGGAAAAATTGGATAGATATTACGAAGAATGTGTCAGCAACTCAACAAAAGATAAAG